TTTTTTATATATATATATATATATATATATATATATATATATATATATATATATATTACAATTATTTATTTAAAATTTACATTTTATGATTGAATTATTAGCTTTTCACCAACAGTTTGGGAAACCCTTTCATGAAGAGCAATATTTTCTTGTAGATTATTTAGGAACAATACATGCGCATTATCCACCACTTGAAAACAACATTTGTTACTCTATAAAACACAACTGTCTCATCTGAACTGTAACTTCAACATTCCTTTCCCTTAACAGGATGGATGGGAATGTTAGAATTCACAGGCATGCACACGATCGTGACACCGGCACAATTTACAGACATGCTGAGTCGGAGATAGACGGTTAGAAGTATATCCCAACGCTTAATGAAAGCTTTGATGATTTCGATCCTTTGAATGAGCCAAACGAAATGACTGAGATACGAGCCCTAGACATGGCAGTTTTGATACCAGAATCATTTCAGATTCCATACAGTGTACACTGTCACAGAAACATAGTGAAACTTTCTTATCCTAAACTCACAAGGTTATGTCAATAGTAATATATTATGTTATTCAGTGGCTCAGGCTTTATTTTCTCAGGTGGTCAAACAAGTCAACGCCACTTAGAGCCATTTGGGTCCGAGGGACATCTTGTGACTTCCCCCTCCCTCCTGTCTATCTCTATGGTTGGCCTCTCAGTTTGTTTTGGCCTATATATTCAGCCATGAAAACAGCCCCAAAGATTACGCAAAGTTCAGAGCGAGGCTTCCGAGGAAAGAAGCACTTGATGAAATGCCAAGTTATGTTGAAAACAAGCCACGTGATAGAGGAGGGGCAGACGGTACTCTGGGTTAACAGAGTGGGGCCTTCGCAAAAGGGTCCAAATGGTATTCTAACTCTCCATTGGGTAGGAATGCATAACAGAGTCAATAACAGAAGCACACACATGTACATTTCAAAGAGGGTGGGATCTGATTGGTGAGGTTCTGTGGGTGTGTTACAAAGAGTAATGTCTGGTTGTTCTGTATGAAACAACTAATCTGCATTTGAATGTACAGTGCAAGAACATATGTGACATTTTTGTTGGGGAGGAAAAGTGAGGAAAGTGGAGAAAGTGAGAAAGAGAGGTGTTTGTATGATGACAGTGGAGTGTGAAAGTGAGAGTGTAAGTGCGTTGGAGTGGGAGAGAAAGACAGACGAGTGTGTGTGTGTGTGTGGCAGAGTTTGAAAAATCCTTATTTGTCCGGGAGAGCAGAAGGAGTTCGTCTGTTTTGTTGGGTAGAGAGCGGAGATTTGCCAGATGGATGCTTGGCAACGGCGTCCTGAATCCGCACTGTCTGAGCTTGACGAGCGCGCCGGCTCGCTTCCCCCCGTCTGTGCGTCCTGAAGCGCTTGATCAGCGCAGCTGCTCCCCCGACTACAATGTCCAGCAAAACATCAGAATAGTCGAAAACCGGTGAAATATCGGGTGGTGTGTACTGCCGAATGTCCAGCAATTCGTCTCTGGTGAAACTGATTGCAGGGATATAACTAAAGACAGGACAAACTAACAAAAACATAAAAACAACTGCGGAGCACGCCACGGAGGCAGCCATCACCGTCGGCGTCATCGTTAGAAAACGATGGGTACTCTTTGGGCACTCTGTAGTCCTCTTCTGTTACATCAAGGGTGTGTAGGTTTTCCGAGGAGTCAGCTACATACACACATAATTAAGATTTATTCACACTTCTGCCGAAGCACCTAAACGTTTCCTGGAATCAAAATCCATGTGGCAGGAAAGCATGAACAGCTTATAAAATGACAGTCATCCGAAACATTAGACACTGACAGCAGAATGCACCTGAATGTGATTAAATCCACACTACCTGCTTAACCTGAGAGTGTGGATTACATGGTATTACAGTTTGGGTGCACCGAAATAAGGCATACATAATTAGCCAAGGTTTGGCTAATTAACAAAACTAATACATGAAACTAATGAAGTTGTGTAACTGTGGAGGAAAGCGTGCAATTCCTCTTTCCTCTTAAAGGAAGAATTTTGTCCAGCCCTAAAATATTTTTCTGATTAAGCAATGTGTCCTGGGCCCCTATTGCGCAAGCGTGCTTTTTTTTCAGTTTCTCCTAGAAATCTCCTAGAAATTGGAAATCCTCCAGGCACCAAACAATAAACCCCGAATATGAAAATACTAGTGGAACAGATGGAAAAATATTTGCATGCCTGAGAGTCAGAATAGTTTGAGTTTACAAAAGAACAAAACAGTGACGTAAATGCGCAGGTAAAAAAACAATAACAACAACTTTAAATTAAGTACAGGATCACACTGAACTAATTTTTAGATAAAGCATATCCCAATTCATTATATTTAAATAGCCCACAGATAGCCTATAGATCATGTATGACATATATCTAGATCTACTAAATGTCCTTAGATATGTATACATATTATGTACACTTATCTAAGGATGTTTCTATCATAAAACTCGTTTGTTCGTTTTTTCCCCTAGCAATATTAGCTATTAAACTGTATGGGTTTGTGCAAAGATTTATTTTAGTTCCAGAGTCCCAGTGTTACAGTAGTCCAGTATAAAATAGCATATTCGAATTCCAAGATAGACAACCTTATGCAACATTTACCCGCACTGAATCAGCTTGAAGGTGCCAATGCTTGATCACAGTGTGTTTTCATCTCGTTCTGCACGTATCCTCCACACGTATCCTCCACTCGAGGAGCATGAGGTCAAAGCCCCGCCCACTGACGTGCCGTTTCCTCTTCATTCCAGGTCTGGTACATTCCGACAGAACACAAGAGTATCGTTGTTGCGGTTCTTGCAGATCCAGATAATTACACGTAACACACGGCCAGGCGTGTTGTTTTGTTGCTGAAAGCGAAAGAAAACGTCTGTTATGGTGCGGATCTGTTGATCAGTGCCGCAGGAATGTAACGGGGCAGCAGCAGCGTTGTGATTAATCTGATGCAACTCACATTTATAACCCTTTCCAAAAACTATATTTAGAGACGAATACATTTATTGTGTGTATGCATGCGCATATACAACATGTGCACATTTGCTAAAGTAGCTAAGTTATTAGTTTGTATTACGTGTTAGTAGCATAGATTGTGTTTACATTTTTTTATGCAGCGTTTTCATGTAGCGAAGCTGTTTTTCTATATTTTACATAACAATGCTCTGTAAAACGAATCACTCTTTTGTGTCGGTTCTTTGAATCAGTCGATCACACTCGCGAATTGATTCCGTTATGGACATTAATTAATGTAACCTATGGTACATACTGTATACGGCCGTAGATTATGATTATTTTTAATATTACATAAAAATTAAGTAGCTTAAACGCTGCAAGCTTGTAGCTTGGAATATAAATAGCCTACGTTCTCTGAACAATAGCTTTCAGTTTTGAGGCAGCTTCATTTTGAGTAGATTACATTTGTGCATCAAAACACTTAAAGTGCATATAAACTTTGTAAACCCTTTTTGCCAACGAAGCTTTTTGAATTGGCTTGAATCTGTAAGATCTTAACTTGGTTTTGGAAATGGGCTTTAACGAGCATATAACATGACCTTGTTGCAGCGTTCGACGTCAGTGTTGCATGACACTAAAACACGCCCTCTCATTATAATGCAGAGACTACTGGAAAAATCTGGAATTGAGGGCAGCAGATTGAAGATTGCGACATAGAGAGGTGATGTTGAAGTCAAGGTGGAGCAAGATTAACAGTTAACGATTTCATCATCCAGATAAACTGGGGCTGAAGAATTATTTCCTCTAAACGTGCAACTCAGCACTTATTCAGCATGTAGGCTGGTAGACAACAGAGCAGAGATCACTATGAACTCATTACACATTGGCTGATTAGTCGTAGATAAAACGCTAAAGATAGAACAAGTATAAAAGAGCATTGTCCAAAAAATGAAAACCCATTGCATAACCAAATTGTGGACCTAGTTTAATAAAATTAGTGATCGGAGCTCAAGGTAATGCAACATTTCATCATCCAAGTCTGTGTGGTGATATGCTTTTATCGCCATCTAGTGGACAGAGACTAGAATCAGCAGGCTTAAATTATTACACAATTATTTC